TGGCGGCAAATGCCAGCCCAAGCACACCACACACACACACACACCCACCCCGACCACCCCCCCGACCACCCCCCTCTCCGCCCCCGCCCCCGGCTCCTGATGCGTGAGCGCCCGGAATAGCGCCCCCAGCGCCTCCTGGGGCGCTCGCGACACATCGTCCAGCACGCAGACGTCCGCGGTCAACAGGCCTCCGGGCCGCGCCTCGAAGCGTCTGGTGGGTTTTTTGCCCCGAGCCACACCTAGGTCCTCCAGTAGGGAGGTTAGAATAAGGGTACCAACTTTTTTCTGTAGTCTATTTTCAGCAGGGGAACCCTCCCCCAGAACAGGGTAAAAGGGCACTACTGGTGGACCTACTTGTGTGGTTGGTGGGGCTTCTTGGTTTCTCCCCGAAAAACAACCTCAAAAAAAAAGAAGAAAAAGAAATGCCGCCTGGCTGGCCAGCTAAAAGGGAAGGAACCTCGGGAACCCGGAAGCCGAAGGGTTGGTTCAATGGTTCCCGCCGAAGCAAAAAACCCCTTTGTACCCGTTTCAAGGGTCCTTCAACAGACGCGCCCAGTTGGCTTGGTCTCGATTTTTTGATCAAAACCAAAACGGGTGAGGTCACTCAAAAGTGCTCGTGTTGCTACAACCAAAATGTCTACCAGACAGGTGAAAACGTCTAATCGCCGCAAGCAACTGGAAGGTGGTTTGAGGGGAGGGGGGAGACCCTCTCAGCGATATGCTGGCAGTGGAGAGGTCCAACAGTTGCCAATCGAACGAACTGATGACACGGGTCTTACCCTTTACAAGTTAAAGTGAGCTCCTCTCTGGAGTCATGCTTGCAGCGAAAAGGAGTCATGCTTGCAGCGAAAAAGAACGCTGAACTCACCTGCAAGGGATACACCTAACCATCCAACAATCAGATTTTGCAAATCGACTCCTGTCGCTCTGGTGGTTTGACTACTAACCTGTCCTACTGGCCGGCTGATACGAACCAATGCTTGAGCCCAATCGAACTCAACTCAAGACTCTTCCAATACATGCACTTGATTGCTCCTGTTGAACCTCATTACACGGAAGCTGCCGCTTAAAACCGATTTGTAGGCACGGAACATGGGAGAGCCCTGTTCCACAAACTGCGGCGCTGACAAACACGATGCTTTCGCACATGGGCCCCCTTTCGGATGGCTTCAAAAGAAAACCACAAGGAAACCACCCGCCTGGAGGGGTCCAGTTTGAGACAGACCCATATGTATCTCGGTTGTTTCCTGCCGGCGGTTGAACTCTTCGACTGCAAGGGACTCATCCTGAATCCAACGCCTGAACAGGCGCCCAGCCTGGGCGCAACATGGGAATTGCAAGGCGATCAACCAAAAGGAGACCAGGGGGAACAAGCGAGAAGCATAAGACGACCCACCCGAAAGCAGGCACACCTGCCAAATGTGCCCAAGTGTTCTTAGAAAGGACGGCGCATGTCTGCGTGGATATACTCTGCGCGAGTGCGTTGCCCAAGAATCACAGAAGGCCTGTGCAAAGAGAGGCAACGGTATAGTCCGCACAGGTGCGTTGTTCAAGGAAGTATTGTTTGCGCACGCAACGTCGAACTCTGTTTGCCTTAAGATTCTAGACCTTAAAGCAGCGTGTGGGTCCCGAAGCAGCCTGTTGCTGAACTGAGGATAGTGCAGAGTTGCCAAGTTGTTCAAATGTTGCACAGCACAAGCATTCTTAGCTCGGCTTTCTCTTCACAATTGTGCTCTTGCTCTATGCATGTATTCTCGTTTCAAGTATGCTCAGGAAACAGTGGAAACACAAAATAAAGTTGCCCAACCAGGGTGGTACACTCGGCTTCCGGCAAAGCAAAACAAAACACACAACCCTTGTTGGCAGGGTTCTACCTTTTGACTACCCAAAAGAGTTAAACCCAGGGGTGGTTGATTTCCCTAAAAGCAAAGCCCCCTGGGTTTAAGTCTACCTTGGGGTAGTCAAAAAGTAGAACCCTGCTTGTTGGTTTCTCTTTGGGAGACTCAAACTCAATGGCTGAGTAGCTGAGTGCGGTCGAGGCACAGAGTAGCTCAGCCGCTGGCCGTCACCATCCTGGGTGCCTGAGATGGCGACGAAAAGGGGCCAGAAAGGGCCGGGGACCAGCTGGAAGAATATCTGGGGGTTGATCAATGCTCCGTTCGGCCCCCAAATGACCACGTGTGGTCTGTCCCATTGAGTGAGAAATATCATCTTTGTATGTGGCTTCCCCCGATGGTAATCTCAAGAAAAACACCACACGTGATGCCTCAGGGAGCCATGACCCACATGTGAAGGCTCGACGCCAGCTGCTTTAGCGAGGATCGCTTGCTGGCTCGGTTGTGAGACGAGCAATCACAAAGACAAACACGGCAATCCCCACATGGCGACAGGAAATTCTCCTCGAGACTGGACTTCGACTTGCTCTTTCAGCAGCTCCCGCTGGAGACAGAGGGGGGGCCTCGTAAAATCCCAGAGCGGATCCACCGACGACCAGGCAATGGAAACCCTGAGTTCATACAGCGAAGGGGACGTTTCATTTGAGAAGCTACCCTTGGCTTTTGGGGGAGGGAAGACAATCATTGGACCCCGTGATACAATTTCTGCCTGGAGTTTGGTGAAGCAACCCAAGCAAGCGCTCGAGACCGACTTCGTCGCATTCTGATCCGCGCGGCTCGTCAGCACCCCGCCGCTGGAGGTCAGATCTTCCGCCCGCACGTCTCGGTGGAGCTGCAGCACGCACGGGGCTTTCCCCGCGGCGAAGGCGAACTCCGTGGCCAGCAAGGACCTACGAAGCAAGCCGTTGAGAGCCCGGATGATAGATACCGATGTCTAAAAAAAGGTACAGCGTTGCCAGCCTTTTTCCCCCCCCACCAATGGTCATGGGTCAGACAAGTACCCCCCCCCCCCCCGTGGTTGTGGTCCTGTGGGTGGGTTGTGGCGGTTTAGGGTTGGTTTAGGTTTAGGGTTTATTGTTTAGGGATTAGTTTAGGGTGCATTTGGGGTTAGTTTAGGTTGGTTTAGGGTTAGTTTACGGTTGGTTTACGTTGATTTAGAGTTGGTTTAGGTTTAGAGGTCTACGGTTTAGGGTTTGGTTTAGGGGGTATTTAGGGTTCCTTTAGGCTCGGGGTCTTTGGCCGGGGGGGGGGGGGGGTCCTGGGGGACCCATACCATATGGGGGGGGGGCGGGGGGGTAGCAACACGGCCATATATATATATATATATATATATATGTACATGGGTGTGTGTTTGTAAAGGGGACCCCCCCCCCCCGCGGAATACGGGGGTTCCTTTTGGTTGACCTTTGAAACCAGCCATAAAAGGCTTCCCCAACAAACAGACAGCACCATAATATGGATACAATAAATGTGTATAATGATGGTAGTAAAATGCTGACAAGGACTGCATGTGGATTTTGACACATGAATTAATCAATTTATCTGGCAATCTATCCATTTACTTGTGTGTGTGTGTGTTTCTTCATCTATCACTCTATTTGTTGCTTTTATGTACCACTTCTGTAGATTTACTTGTTCACCTGGTTATTCGCTTGCATATTTACTTAGCTGGTGTACGGCGCGTGGGGTTTCCAAGCACCGCAACCAATTCCACCCGCAGCAGAACACGTAACCTGCCTGGTTTTCAGGTGAGGCCCGCCCGAGGCTTCGTCTGGAAGGATCAAATGAATGACCGGCAAACTACTTCATTGATTTCAACACAATGGTCAAGTACACTTACCCCAGCACAACCGCATGAGCTGTTTCAAAGACCAAACCGGGGTCATAGCGCCCCCACCGCGTCGCCACGGTAACTGAGAGACCATCGCTTTGAGACTGTTCATTGCTCAAAACACCTTTGCCTACCTGGCGTGGGAATGCTTTGGGAACAAGATCCTTTGAACATCTCCACAAACCAACCCTTTGCGTCCCAGCCATTCGGGACACGCCCTCCACAAAATAGCCCAGACAAGATCTGTCCGGAGAGCTCAAGCGGATCGTGTCTTGATACTGGGTCACATCAAATCGATGGGGAAAAGCTCAGAACAGTCAAAGGCATGCGGCTTGAAATGATTTGACCCGCACAGCTGCCACGCCTGGAATCATCACCCCGAAACCCCCACATCTACGCACTGCCCTCCATTCATTCATTCATTCATTCATTCATTCATTCATTCATTCATTCATTCATTCATTCATTCATTCATTCATTCATTCATTCATTCATTCATTCATTCATTCATTCATTCATTAATTCATGAACGCATGCATGCATGCATCTATGTATGAACTTATTGAGTTATGTGGTTATGTACCTACTGATTTGTTTGTTTAACTTAGTCATGTGACTATTGATGTAGTTAGTAGTTAGTTTACCTAGTCATGTGTGTATCGATGTGTGTATTGTGTTTGTGTTTGTGTGCTTACTTATTTAGTTACTCATGTGCTTATTCATCTATCTATCCATGTATATATATATATACATATTTATTTGTATAGTTATGTGTCTTATGTATGTATCGGTTTATCTATGTACATGTATTTATTGGTTTATTTACATGTGTACTTCTGTATTATTGATGTATCTATCTATCTATCTATCTATCTATCTATCTATCTATCTATCTATCTATCTATCTATCTATCTATATGGCTATCTATCTATATCTATGTGTTTAATTGTTTATATCCATCCGTCCATTCATCCATCCATCCATCCATCCATCCATCCATCCATCCATCCATCCATCCATCCATCCATCCATCCGGCCATTCATTCATTCATTCATTCATTTGTTTGTTCGTTCATTCGCTCGTTTGTTCGCTCGTTCATTCGCTCGTTTGTTCGTTCGTTCGCTCGTGCATGCGTGCGTGTCGTGCGTGCGTTTGTGCATTCGTTCCTTCATTCTTTCCCTCCTTCATTCCATTCGATTCGATTCGATTCCATTCCATTCCATTCGATGTCATTCCATTCCATGTTATTCCATTCCATGTCATTCCATCATTCCACTCCACTCCTATTCTATTCTTACTCACTCACTCACTCATTGGTTTATCTATGTTCATAGATAATGCCTGAGGCATGTTGAAACTAACACATGATAAATTATTGGTATTTGCAATTTGGGGTCTATGACTTTCACGCGGCCAGGAAACACCGCCGACAACGTTTAGTCGACCGATGCGAGCTGGACGAAAAGTCTACCCCATGCCCTGGTTCTTCATCCTCAGTTGACATGGCCCAAATTCACACTTAATCTCCCCACAACTCCCCCAAGTTCACAACAGCATGTCTGCAAGGAGGCACGGAAGAGGCTTCTAAACTTGGGTAATTACGCCTTTCCAGCTTGGTTTCAAGGAAAAACACAAGGGACAAGGGGAGGGTCCAAATGATCTGCAAATGTTACTATAATTCCAAAAGCTGAATTGCCGGATCCCCAGGTAAAGGACCTGTTTCATGGCTTTCGCTCGTTAGACCCCCGAACCGGTGAGCTCGCCATAAACTCTGCAGAATCATATTGACCCCCAAATTAGTCAACCCCACTTTATGATTGTTGGTTTTTTTGGGGGTTAGTGGGGAATCGGACCACTTTTGGAGGGGGCCCCCACCCCCCTAGTGATAAACTGGTTGGTCGGGGACACCCCCCACTAATAAACCCACAGACAGCCCACTAAACGCAGGGACACCCCCCACTAAAACCCATCTAAACCAGTGTTAACCAAACTGAGCTCAAAAGGACACCTGTGCCTCCACTCGCCCTAAATGACCACTTTTGGAGGGGTTTTCCCCCACCCCCTATTCTGGTTGATTTATATGGGGCCAGAGGGTGGGTCCATGACGCACGGCGTCGATGACCCTCTGCGAGGCGCTTGGCGGAGCCAGAGGGCCCGCAGAGCAGCACGTGCTCCTTGGCCACTAGGCCCAGAAGCAACGCCTGGCGGAGCGGCGACCGCCCGTCCTGGTGTCCGGCGTCCCCTTGAAAAACCCAAGCGCGTAAAAATGGCCGGCCTGTTGGGGGGGGGGGGGGTTCTCTTGAGAAAAAATGGGGGAAAAAACGCATAAAAATGGCATGGTTGGTGTTTCGCTTGGAGAAAACAAGCAAAAAAACACAGGCCCTGTTGGGGGTTTCCCCGGAACAAACAAGAAAGATGTTCGCCTCCTGAAAAAAGAAAAAAGAAAAGACAAACCCGTTTGGACATGGTCTGGTTGGAGCCGTAGCAGCCGTGGAATCCTTCCATCCCCCAGCAAAAGCGTCTTGTACAAGCGTGGTAGCCAGCCTCCCCAGGCAGAAAACCCCATTGCACTCGCGCACAATGGAGAACCACCATTGGGAGGGTTCTTCGGATATTCGTGAGATAGAAACTGTAATAAATATATCTCGTAGGTTTTACTTGGCCATGGGTCAAAACCCCGCACCTCCAGTGAAAATCCCCACTAAAATAGACTCAAATGGGTGGTGCGCCTCTCCCAAAATGGGATCCCATTGGTTTTGAACCATGGCCACTTCATTTTCAACCAGTAGAGTGAGAGTCGACGGGCTTGGTTGTACCTCCTTGGCGTCCTCATGACCCACCACCGCTGCGTCGAGGCGCCGCCGCACAGCGCTGCCTCGCGCTGAGGATTCGGCAAAGGAACTGCTCGTGAGGGTAGATCAGAAATGTATTTTCATGGGGGCTGCGTTTTTTTTTTTGCCCTTGGGGTCACTCCGGGATGTGGTTTCCATACGAGGGCTATGGGGTAGGCGACCGAAGCAAGAGCAAAGATGACATGGGTCAAAAGCCCGGCCACCCCCCAGTGAACATACCCAATCCAACCACTAAACTTGGCTCTAAAATGGGGAGGGGGGGAGGGGAGGGAGCCCAAATAAGCCCCTGTCAAGCCCGTAATGAGGGGTCACTTACGGCATATTTGGGCTCCCTCCCCCTCCCCTTCCTCCCCCCGAGCCCCCATGATACTTGTTTCGAAAGGGTAGATCAGAAATCCGCAAGGGTATATTATCCTTTCCCCTCCGGACAAGAGTCACTCCCATGTCCGAAATTCTGGCTTCAACCACTGCGGCAAAGGACATGCTATTTACATCCGAGGGCACATTCCAGCCCAGCCGACCCTGTCCCGTACTGTTTGCTTCCGCAAGTCCATGTGTTTTGGATCTGCTGAGAACCAAGCGGTGTGGCCTAAAGCGCAGATCATCAGAAATGAAAGAAAACCGCTCAGTAGTGACTGACCAGGGTGTTGGGAATGAGCCTAAGGATTGATTTCCTTAAAGGCAACCATACTGTGGATGGACAAAATCCTGCACCACCAAGGATGGATGAACCCTTATGAATACTGGGATAAACCACCTTTCAAATGATGCAGGATTTTGTCCATCCACAGTAAGGAATGGTTTATTTTACCCAGTCCCTGCCCCGAACCAGCAAGAAAAATTGGCAAATTGGCCAAGGTGCAGAGCGGACGCCTAAGGCGTGGTCTGAGCAGTGGAACCAGCACGGACAACGAGGCCATGGCGGAAAAACAAGCCAGGGGCTGCCCGATGCTCTAAGGTACTGGCTGAAAGAAACTGGATTCACATGGCTGACTTGGCAAAGATATTAAGCGTAGGGCTTCAAGTGCTCGTTTCGGGTTTGAGGGTGACCAGGCGGCGTCTTGCCCAGCTGGCAATGGTGCTTCGGACCTCAAACCTTGCACGGAGTTGGCTCCGATTCCTTGATCGGCGATCATACTCCAAGTCGTTGCAACCATCCCAGAACCATGCGGGACACATGTCATCCAAATTGAGCCCAAACGCGGCTGATTTCAGGATAGGTGGCGGGAGACTGACCTCAGCGCTGAATTGAGGAAACAAAGGGAACGGTCGTTGTATTCAGGCCTGCATCTCATGGCAAACATGCTGCGCAACTAAGCCAGGTGACCAAAGGTTTGTCGCAGCCCCATGCTTTTGCGGAAGCTGAACCAAACCCTTTACAAAGCACCGCAGGAGTGGCACCTCCGATTGGTGCTGCTTGGTCTTGGCTCAAACAAAAGCACCCCCCCCCTCTCCGCAGTGCTCAGCTGGTCCATGTGGTCCACCGGCCTGGGGCGGAAGAACAAATCCATGAAGTGTCAAGTGAGGGGAGGCGATGAGGCAATGAGGCAATGCCAGCGTGAAAGCAAGTTAAGCAGAGGTGGGGAGAAAGAGACAGAGAGTAGAAAGACTCATGAAAGGCAATGGACATGAGGAAGCAAGGACTTTGGAAGGGGGTAATTCTGGGGGTTCAAGAGCAAGTCTTTGAAGGAATGTTTTGAATGTCAAGCTGAACGTGCTTGATTTGCAGATGCCGCACATGTGTCCGAAGCGCGATGCTGTTTCCAGGTTTGCTTCCGCGGCCACATGCTTCTATCATAGGCGTGAAGCCTACGTCTGTTTGCACAAACCGCATCAGCAATCTGTTCTTTCTTCTAAACTGTGTGATGCGGATTGTGCCCCAGGAAAAAATGGAGCCCCAAGCCACACTATGATCAAACAACCATGAAGCGGCTTGATTTTGCGGAGCCGACAGGAAGCAAAGCGCCAGCGCTGTCAGGTGGATGCAGCTCCGATTGAATGCTGGACTAGAGCTTGGAAATGCATTTTGGCATTTTGCAGAGGCTGCCGGCCGGGACCATCCACTAGCTAAATCCAAAGCGGCACACTACATAGGATGGGTCCCTCCCTCCCTCTGCGCTCTCGGCGGTCGCGGCGGCGGTTGGGTCACCTGGCGCCGACCAGTCCGGGTCCTTTTGAACTTTTTTAAGAGCCTGGAATGCCTCCAAAAGGAACCAGCACTTTAAGATAATAATTTACATGTCTCCAAGCAAGTAGAAAAGGAACTACCCCGGGATGGTTTGATCAAGGGCTATGTCAGCATGTGGTCATCAACCTTGCGACTTGCTTGAGAGCTGCACCAGGCACGAACCATCGCGGCGCGCGTACAAAAACCAGTATTGGCATGATAACTGCTGCATGTCTCTTGAGACCTGGTCTCACCCATGCAATGTGCAATGTGACCATTCTTGATCGGCTTCTTCCTCACTGGCATCAACCTGTCCCTACTAAGCATGTGAGTCGTAATCAAAACCCGGTATCAAAATGGTCTACCCAGAACCATGTAAAGAACTAAGAAGGCGGATATCCGCAGCTATTTATGGCAAGGGGATTGTGCCTTAGTAACCTTCATCTACCCGAATCGGTTTTGAGCACGTGGCTCATGTGATTCCGTGCTTGCGTACGTATCGAAGGTCACTCGACCCGAAAAAAGCGAGCCTGACCAGACTCTGGTACCCTCCCCACTAACCTGTCGCGTGGCAAAAGGTCCCTTTTAGAGGCAACTGATCTTCCAACTACCCTCCAACAAATGCTGCGTTTGTGGAAGGAAGGGCAACCATTCATGCTGAAATCGGATTTAATCTACAATTTTCTGAGAAGGCTGAGAAGTTGTCTGGGCGCCAAAAAACAAAAAACTGACACTGAAATAATCCTCGAGGTCTACTTTAGTATGGGGCAATACTACTTTAGTATTCAGCAATGCTACTTTTGAATTGAGCAATACTATTTTTGTCCTGGGCAATACTACTTTAGTATTGGGCAATTTTGCTGTTGAATTGGGCAATACTATTTTTGAATTGGGCAATACTACTTTAGTATGTGGCAATGGTACTTCAGTATTGGGCAATACTACCTTTGAATTGGGCATGATGACTCCAGAGAGACTCCTTGAAATTTGCTAGGCTTCCATGGAGGGTGAGTGACTTTTCCATCAGGTTTGCACGGCCACCCCAACGAAATTCCATGAAATTTGACATTGAGATTGAGTGGAGTGGTTGTCCATAGGTTTGCATGGCCACCCCAGTGGGATTCCATGAACATGGATGAAGTTTGCGTGGAGATTGAGTGATTTTTCCATCAAACGAGGCCCCATAGGCTCCTGCAGCTATTGGCCCTGATTGGTGGTTGCACGCCTATGCAAGCACTGAGCACAATGGGGGGAGAATGAGGAGCCTGCTGGTTAAAACCTATGGGTTTTCCCTAGTAATGGAATAAGCCCCATAAACCCAACGAACCTAAAAGGACGCCTATAATCAATGTTGTAGAGCCGCGCACTCCGGGAGAATGAACAAGAACTGCAGATAGGCAGTCGGCGGGTGCCGAATGCTGCTCCGCTGCATGGTTCTACTGTTGACTCGACTGATTCATATTCTGAAACGACGTCCCTGGCCATCCCTTTCATGTGCTAGCAGTAGATTCTATACAAATGCGGTGGACGGACGAGAATCTGCACCAGTTGTTAGGTGGTGTATCCCAGTATTCACAGGGTTTTGTTCATGCCAACTGGTGCAGGATTTTGCTCACGAATAGCTCCTCCCACGGGCCAAGAAGCAGAACGCCTCATCACCGTCATCGCCTCGTGCGCAGAAGACCGGCTTGGACATGGAGTTGGAATTTCCCCAGTGCCACAAATAACATCGAGGAAAGGTGCCCTGGCTTTTCGACAGATCCAGCCGGGTCAAAACGAATAGTTCTAAACAAAAAGTGTCTGGGTCTTTCGGCCTTTCAGGTGCTCAAGGTGGTCATTTCAACCCGCAAAAGCCTCGGGAATGGTGGCACTTGCCTCGAGCATTGCAATCATCCGAGAAAAAAAGAAGAAACAAAAAGCTCTTTTGACCTGGGAGGTAGCGAATCTGTGAAACATGATTCCAGACAACGGCCTCGATGTGGCGAATCTGTGGATGCACCCCTGTAGTGAAGGCAAACCAAAAGGAACGCCGCCTTCATTTATGGGGAGGGATCCGCGAAGAAAAAAACAACGGATGCAGGCCAAGTTTTGCGGACCCAGGGTCTTACATCTCCCTCGAGCCATCTAAACGTGGGCCAATTTTGGGATGAGCTGCCCACAAAAAAGCTCACAATGGAGTCCATGTTGGTTGCTTACAGAGAAACCACAAGGAAAGCAACCATTGTAAGGAACCACTACTTTTAGAGACACCCATGAGCAACGAGCAGTGATTTGAGCCCAGTTTAGCCTGCAGCGAAACGGATGTGCCTACTTGTTTAGGGAACCCACTTCGTTGGTGTTAAGCGGAGTTTAAAACGAAAACCACCAAGTTGTTTCTATGTTCATTTGTTTTGTGTGTTTTGTTCATTTTTATATGTCCATATGTTAATTTGCTTTGTGTTGGTTCTTTTTGCGGGGGGGGGGGGGTGTCCCTCATTTTTTGCCTTCCCCAAATCGCTGCTACCCACACAAACCGCATAGCATCAACTCATTTGGTGATCCTCTACGCCTGGGCGCCCTGGCGCTTCACGATGCGCCTGGAGAAAACGCGGATGGAATGGATCTCTGGGATCTGAAAGGTGGAAAGCGCAAGTATGCGGGGTTCCACTTGGCTACCCCAAGATAGACTTTAAACCCAGGGGTTCTCCTTTTGGGGGGCACTCACGGCGAAGTTGAATGCAACCACAAAGTGAAACCTAGGGATCCCTGGAGATGACGCTAGGGCCGCCAAGGTTTTGGGGAGGCATAGCCAAAAGCAGAAAGCCAGTTTGGTAGTGTAGCCCTAGGAAAGCAGCTAATCCTCTTAGGTGGAAGTGTCTCTTTTTGGGGTTGGTGCCCTTTCTTGGCTGCTTCAGAGGGAAACCGAAGGAAGAACCGCCATTTTGGGGGTCCGGGGGTCCCCTGAAAAAAACACACCCCCTCTTAGGATGATGATGGTTCATTCTCCGAATCCGCGCCAAGCTGTCGAAGCCGGAATGGATGCGGCCCCCGAGACTCGCCACTGGCTTCCTGTTGGCGACCCCAAGCGAAAAAGAACGAACGCTCACAAGAAATGGCAATGCCCTGCCGGAGGCTGCCCAACCTTAAAAAGGCAAGCACTAGATTGGGTCCTGCCTTTTCATAGGAAACCGATCCACCACGCTGCTTTGATGGATAAGTCATGAGGTTGGCACTAAGGAACGTGTCCAAGGAACGGATCCTTCAAGGCTTCTAAATGGCGACGACTTCCTTCGGTATCCTTCAACCGCAATATGGGAATGAAAGATATAGAGGGGGAGAGAAATAAAGAGAGAGAGAGAGAGAAAGAGACAGAGAAACAAAAAGAGACAAAGAGAGAAGAGAGAAACAGACAAAGAGAGAAAGAGAGAAAGAGAGCAAGAGAGGAAGAGAGGAAGAGAGGAAGAGCGGAAGAGAGGAAGAGAGAAAGAGAGAAAGAGAGAAAGAGAGAAAGAGAGAAAGAGAGAAAGAGAGAAAGAGAGAAAGAGAGAAAGAGAGAAAGAGAGAAAGAGAGAAAGAGAGAAAGAGAGAAAGAGAGAAAGAGAGAAAGAGAGAAAGAGAGAAAGAGAGAAAGAGAGAAGAGAGAAAGAGAGAAAGAGAGAAAGAGAGAAAGAGAGAAAGAGAGAAAGAGAGAAAAAGAGAAACAGAGAAAGCGAGAAAGAGAGAAAGAGAGAAAGAGAGAAAGAGAGAAAGAGAGAAAGAGAGAAAGAGAGAAAG